CGAGTTTCTCCCCCCGTACGAATGTGTGGGGAAGTTCGACCGGCTGGGCGAGCAATCGGACGCGTGCAAGGCAAGTTTGCTGGAAATGATGGAGGAGAGGCAGAGGAGGACGCTATGCACAGACGTAGTTGCAGCAGGGTTCATGAACTACGGGCTCGGGAGCACTTTCAACTACATGATCGTGCAGATGCACAGGGCTCTGAGAGACAGGAGGAGTATCGCCTTCGTGGGAGAGTGGGTGTACGCAGGTAGGGCATGAAGCTGCGCCGCTCGCTCCCTCGTGTGCCCTGAAGGTGCATGCTCAGGTTGTGAGCACAGAAATTTCTCCTGCGCGTTCGAGCCGGTCTCGCCCTGCGACCTTCGAGGAGCTCCCCTCGTCTACCCGAGGATGGCGCCCGACCCAACGCCATGGGACATCGAGAAGGGGTTCGCAGCATGCTTCCAAGGCAGGCAGAACCCTCTCTTCCATTTCGTCTCCACCCTCGCCGGCTTCCTCTTCAAGCCAAACCAGGAGATGCTGCTTGCTGCTGAGGCAGTGAGGAAGAAGATAGGACTGCCAGACGAGTACCTCGGGATCCACATCCGCCATGGCGACTTCTGTATCGCCCATACCGTCACCAGCGATCCCAAGGAATGCTTCGCCGTCTCCCACTACTCGCAGGAGCTGCAGAGGCTGTCTGACCGCTACAACATCACGCACGTGTACCTTGCGACTGACAACGCAGACGCCATTGACATGATCCGGTGGCAGTGCCCACAGCTCACGTTCTACTGGCAAGACGATGTGGACCGGGCGTTCCTGGAGCTCAAGGACCAGGACTTGGAGAGGAAGAGAATATTTCTAGAAGAGAGACTTTTCGACTCCGATGCTGACAGAAGGCAGCGGCACCTGCGGGAAATCATGGTAGACCTCATCCTGCTCTCTTACGGTTTCGGGTTCGTCGGGCAGTTCTCCTCCAACATCTCAAAGATCCTCCTGGCCCTCGGGACTTTCCTGCGGGGAGGGAAGATGGTCCCATACATTTCCCTTGACATCCCCTGGTGTTGGAACGGGATGAAGCCGACGTCTATCCCAGGCTACCACTCGCTATGGCAGTGCTGACGTGAGAACAGACGGGATGAGATTGTTTGGCATTGACTTTCGTCCATTGTGCTTCAGTGGACGGTCCTTGAAATGTGGTCGTCTGAGATGAAGTTTGATCTTCCAGGCTGAAATTTAATCGTCAAACTTGATTGTCAGGATTGAAGTCTGAGGGTTGGACGTTTCATCGTCTTCAAACTCGAGGTCTTGCAAGGTATACAGCCGCCGTAAGAGCCATGAGCAGTTGTAGGCGAGCTGCAATATTTCGCAACGGTTGCGGCAAGGTAAACAGAAAGGTTTTCATTTTGGATGACCAAACATCATCGTTGCCTACAACGACAATTCTTAAAGTCTCTTGAGAGCAAGGGAGATTGCGATGGTATCAGATTGATTCTTGCTCGCTTCTAGATAAATGAACCATTGTCATTTGAGAACGATGACTCCTGAACAAGATGACGGATCGTCGAAGTCACTGGAGTTGAGTTGTAATATGTTGCCATGGACGGCGAAGAAGTGACATATCCATTGTTCGAACTTGACTGCTTGCAAAGTCACCACCTCAAGTGGTGCACAGGTACGGTACCTGCAAGCTGGAGTACGCCATCTTCACGGGTGTGTTGTTGGAGGGAGGGACCTGGCAGTCAAAGATTGGAACAAGAACAGGAGGAACAGGAAACGAGTGACTTCACTACCTCGAGCGGCCTTGAGGTCTTCGGGGCGGTATCGGGGAAGATGAATGCCTCCCTGCTGTAGTCCTCGAAATCCCTGAAGGGAACAGAACAATTCTGCAGCGCTCTAGCAAGTTCCTCCTGTCACCTTCCCGTCAGCTCAAGTCTCGAGCACAGTGTGGGGAGTAGGATGTGGAGCAAGTCAAGACTTGTGACCTGGGACTTGTGCAGCATCTCCCACTGCTTGTGAAGCTCTTCGTGTGATCTCTTGAAGTCATTGTCGCTCTGCATTCTCATCCTCTCCTTGTCCACGATCTTCCTCCCGTCCTCGTAGGCTCTTTCCAGCACATGCTGCAAGTCCCCGTTCTCCAAGGAGAGCATCCTCTCCTGCACTTTGGCCTCGTAGAGCTGCTTTTCTTTGTCTATCATGGCTGACTTAAGACAAGACGATCACACGCTTCCAGCTCGCTCACCGATTCTTGCATCCTCCAGCTGCATCTTCAACACCTCCATGGCCTCAATCTTCTCGGGTTCCTTTGCAGTCTCTCTCTCCAACTCTTCGCTCATCTGCCTTTCTCTTTCCAGAGCTCTTGCTTTCTCTGCCTCTGCATCCTGGCACGCAGACGTGTTGAGCGGCAAGAGGGCGATGATAAAAGTTGTTACCTTGAGTCGGTTCTGGGCACCTGAAAGGTCCACGTGGACCTTGTTCTTTTCCTCTTCGATCTTGTACAGATGGTCTCTGAGGACTGCAATTCTCTCTCGAAGAGCCTATACCAACAATTCAGCCTGCCATGCACAGGGTTGAAACTGAATCATCTGACCTCTGCCAGACTTTCTTCTGCCTGGAGTGCGGCCTCAAGGCTTTTGTTCTCCTGCAGAGATCAACCATTCAGAGAATGGCATTGCACGAAACCTGACTACTTCACCTGTCCCATGCGCATAGCATTCTCTTCGAACTTCGACTGCTTGGTATCCAAATCCTCCTTGGTCCTTCTGTACTCCTTCAGATGAAGCATATCAGTACAACTGAATCGCAGACACCGTTGCTTACATCTTTGGTGCTGTTCAATCGCTTTTGAAGCTCATTTTCAGACTTGCGGTATCTTTCCAAAAGTCATCGATACCTTGAAGGTTTTCAATCGCGATATTTACCTGGCATTTTCCTCAGCTCTGCTTTCTTGCTCAAAACGCAGAGCGTTCTCCATTCTTTCTCTTTCATTCTCAAGCTTCTGCTTGAGATCGTCGATGATCTTCTCACGCTTTTTGATCTATCATTTCATAAGAATTTTCTCATCTCAGAGTCATCTTTTGTATTTATGCCACCTGCTCTTCTACTTCCATGATCTCAGCCTGAATGTTCTTGTTCTTATTTTCCTTCTCTGCCCTTGCCGAATCAATGTTCGATCTGGCTTCTTCAGCTTCTTGGAGCATTTGGTTCAGTCTGTTGTTGTCATCTTGAAGCTGAAGTTTGGCATGAAAATCAATAATTCAAGTCACATTAGAAAACGCAAGACCTTGTTCTTCTGCTGAAGATTTCTAGAAATTCTGGACTGAATCATCTGCGCAAAATTTGAGCCCGTCCAACAGCACGAGGGTGCAAAACCTCTCTCTTGCGAATGATCTCCTCGATTTCAGCCTGAGTGTCCCTGCAGGTCTTTTCATACCTGTATGTGAACAATCAGGACGAACAAGACCAACACAAGCTTGCTCTGTGAAAACAAACCTGCTCCTCTCTTCGTCAATTGCCATGAGCTCCCTTTCTCTTGCCTCCCTCTCTCTACGATCTCTCTCCACTCTGACCAGGAGCACGGAGTTCAGTACATCTTACACTGCAAGCGGAGAAACGTACTCAGCTTCCATCCTTCTCTTCAGTTCGCTCTCTTCTTGCTCGAGGCTTGAACGCTTGTTAATTTCGCTCTGAAGATAGTTCTCTTGCTCCAACTTGTTCTTGCGGGTAGACTGATGTACAGGTGAACACCAAGAGCACTGAGAGACTGAAACAAGACCTCTAGAGACTGATGCGCATTGGCCAGCTTGTCCTGGGCCTGTGTGAGCCATCCTCTGAGCTGCTCGAGGCTCCTCATGTCCTGGTCGCGTTGTTCTCTGAGGGGGAGCATCAACAGTGAGAAACTTCCATCTCGATGATGATGGTGTGTTACTTGGCCGCTATGACTCTCGTTTCAATCTCTTGCTTCTCACGACGATACTGGCTGACGGAGTACTGCAAGCTATGCAACCGCTCCTCCGTTGTGCTGGGTTTCAAATAACGCAAGGAAGACAACAGTTTGTGAGTTCTTTTCATACCGAAGCAGACGTCTCAGCTCATCGATTTCGCTTCTGTCAGAGTTGGTGTCGTTTTCCAGCATGCTCAACTTCACAAGGCAGCAATCACACAACGAGAGTCAAAGCTTGAGCATGTACCTTGGCACGAAGGTCCTCCCTCGTTTCTTCCGCGGACTTGTAAGCAAGTCTGATTCGGTCTACTTCTTCCTGTAACGGTTGTTACCTCCACAACATCGCATCCTAGTTGATTCACAGAACCTGCAGCCTAACTTTTTCCTTGAGTTGGGAGAAGAAGGAGGCATTGCCCCTGATCAGCGACACCTTGTACTCAAACAGCTCTCCATCTGCACTCTCACGCAAGAACTGCAATGTCACGAAAGTCCCTATTTCCCCGAGGATTAGAGAGCGAAGCTCAGACATCGCCGACCCCTTCACTTCCACCCCGTCGACCTCTTGGATTATGTCGCCCACTTGGACGGTTCCCTCGCGATCTGCCGAGGTTCCCTTCACAATAGACTTGACGAAGACGATGTTCTTGTTCCCCTCCTTCGGAGCGAAGAAGATTCCAACTCCAGCCTTGTCTGAGGAACGCGGTCATCATGAATGAACGCACAGGACGGGCATTCTTACTGCTGTCCATGAGCTCTTCGTTGTTCCCAGAGCCATACTTGGCCGATTGACTGTTCTTGGTGGTGCTTGGCGATGTGTTGGTTAAGGTTGGAGTTATGGGCCTCCCCATCGTGTATGTGACGCCAGGCGGGCTGGCGTTGTTGGACATGAAGCTATAGTTCATCTTGACCTGTAGGCGTGTATCAGGCAAGCTCCAGCAGCAAGGTTGATTCCACAAACATGTCAGATTCCTTCCATTCTAAGTCGTGCGCACAAAGGGTTTCTAAAAACCTCTACTGTAACTTCTATTACATTGATCTCAATTTTTCGATCCCTTCATGAATGAGAATATTCCTCGCATCACTCTCCCTTCGAAGCGTTATTTTTTCAAACCTAGTAGTTTCTCATTCCATTCCTTCCAACATGCATGTCCAAACGATGCATCAAAGTACATTCCTCCATCGTCTCTACATCATCTCGTGATATTGCTGGATATTGCCATAGAATTCAGTATTCTTTCTACATCCCTTGATTTCCCAGTTTCAAAAAACTTAAGAATCCTTTGTCAGTCTTTTGAATACCATTCTATCCTTCACAATGATCACTTGTTCTCACTCCTGATGTACCGTATCTTGCCTACTATCTTCTCCCATCCTCTCCTCTCAGTCCCTCTTCATCTTCCTCCTTCTCCTCCCTCCATCAAGGTTCGTCCCTCCATCCCCGTCCGCGGCCACGGGGCAGCCACAACAGCTCATTTCAACTTTTTTAAAGTGTCAATGGCTATTTTCAAATTGTTCCTGATAAAATCAGGCTGTTCCTCAAAATGCCCGTACGGTTACCAGTAACAGGCCCGACTCCGGGTCCGTGCAATTGGAAGTTGGCCAGTACGAGACATCTTATACCCCTCTATTTCCCATAAATCAAATAGCAGAAGGGTACATCTTATATGACAGGTGTTGCCAACTTCAACAAAATCAGTTGGACCCTCTCCCCCTCCACCGGCCCCTACCGGCCTATCAAGTACCCCTGGGTTCCCGGAAAGACCGGCGGTACCCTGATTTAAATCGGTTGAATGCTTCGAATTTTATTGGATCCGATAGTTGGTCTGATCTGATCTGCGATGGATTTTATTCGCCTAAATCGATTCAAATCATCACACAATCGCCGTCGGATTTTTGACGGCGATCATGCTGGGGTTGACCCGTCTCTCCCTCTCGCCCGTCCTCGTCTCCTCGTCCCCCCCCTCCCTCCTCCCCCCTCGGTCCTCCGCTTCTCCTTCTCCTCCTCGACTTCCCCAGCGCACCTCGCCTGCTCCTTCCTCGACCTCCCCACTTCACCTCCGGGCCAGTTCCGAGTTAAGTCCGCAAGCTGGCCAATTTTTCACTTCTCCGTCCCCGCCGCATGCACAACAAATCTCAAGTTCGGCAGTGCAGCTCGTTCCCTCCCTCAGGCTGAAGCAGCTGCCTCACAGCATGCATGCATCTTCAAGAGCTCAGTCGTCTAGGTCGCCTGCGGGGGTATCAACGAGCAAAAAAGGGTCTGGGAGCGAGAGAGAGTCGAGGACGAGTGCGGAAGTGATCTGGTAGAGAGAGAAGGCAGAGAGATGTTGCAGCAGGTGAGCTGATGGTTCCTGCAGGGGGTTTCACAATCATCTTCGATTTTCAGGTGCGATTTTTACCATTTGTATGCATGCCAATCTCATCGTTTACAGATGGTAGGGGGGCAGGGATGGTGGAAAGGTCGAAGCAACGAGTTCGCAGTGTCAGTCCTCCTCGGAACCTGACTCCTGAGGAGAAAGTTGCGAAGCAGCATGCCCTTGCGGCGGAGGGGAAGGTGGAGGAGATCGTACCGGGGATCGAGAGCTGGTAAATGGGATTGGCAGCACTTTTGCATCGGACTGAGGTTTCTCAGGCTGAGAAGGACGGGGAAGATCCTTGGCAAGAAGGAGACGAGGAGAAGGAGGCCTGTATATAGCAACATCGTCGTGACGATCACAGGAGAGAGTCAGAGACAACAACGGCCCGCCCACGGCTACGCGCCGTCGGAAGCCGGGGCATCGGAAGAGGCCTGCTCTAGTCTACTTCACTGCATCAGGTGCAGGACGGGAGCTGATGCAGCCTCCTGCCCACCTGATTGCCGTGCAGGAACCTCTCGCGGAAGGTGGAGCAGCTGGGGAGGGAGGGTGTGATCTCGATGCACTTCATCCTAACAAGTGATACATCCTCCTCTTCCTGACTTTGCCCGACCTCACCCGCACGACTGTCAGGGCTCAACGTCTCCGAATGGAAGGAGCTTGCGGAGATGCCCGTCGTCTGTGACGAGAGTTTGAAGGCGAGATGTTGCCAACTCCCTTGCTCCTTGCTCCTTGCTCCTTGCTCTCCCTCCCTCTCCTCTGGTATCTCTCTCTACCCCTTCTCCTCAGTCTACGCGCCCCTTCTTCTCGCCGACGTATGATGTTGTCTTGAGGATCACTGAAGGTGTTCTGCAGGACGGGCAAGAGAGGCAGCTGCTGATTCAGAAAGAGCTTGCAACAAGACTCGCGATGCTGCAAGCAGCTGTAGATGAGGTGAAGTCTGTTCAAACTGTGAGGAACGTGTCGCTGTTTGCTGTTGTCGACCTTGCATTATGATGATATGAACAAAACTCGATGGTCTGCGCGATGTTATGGACCAGATTGTTCTGCCTTCCGTATTGTTTCTTCTCTTGCCATCCCGATTGCACGAAGACGGCGGAGTGAAAAGAAGTCTTTCTGACAGGCGATGGAGGTCCAGGACGAAGGATCACTTGAGTTCAGAGAAGCGATTCAGTGGGGGTGCGTGCAAGTCAGCAAGTAGCAGAACAAGTGGAAGAGCCCCGCCATTCGTGCTGTTTGCACAAGATACCCAACTGGGGGGGAGGAGGTCTACTTGGCAACTTTGTTCGGTTGTTCTACAAGTTGGTTGTATTCTACAATCTTTGCAAAGATCTGTCACGTTTGCACTAGTTCAAGACTGCGTCTTCTACTTTCCAGGACTTGTTCGTTTTCACTTTCTCAAACTTCAGCAGCCAGTCAGGGACCTGTGGGCGAAAATGAGCAAAACGAGGAGAAGAAGGGGAGATGGAGAATGGAGCATCAAGTCACGAGAAGCCCCGGGGGAGCGGGAAGGGGGCGGGGTGGGGAGGAAAGAGGGAGGAAGGTAGGGAGGAA